ATATTTCTGTGTGTGTGTGTGTATGTGTGCCGCAAGCCAAGTACTGTTGGTTGGTTTTTTTCATTATAAGTTTTCTTAGGTCACGGGTTCGATCCCCAGTGGTGTTGGGTACTCGAATATTTAGGCACATGGCTCAAGCTTTCATCATATGATCTAGTGAATGGGAAATAGATATATTATTCAACCTGAAAATGTTTCCAATACAAACTCTGGATTGGGACAGATTTGGACAACCCACGTAACTTCCCAATTTGGACAGATTCTTCCGCTCCGCTCCGCTCCGCTTCGATCCAGCGTCTCATCATATGATCTAGTGAATGGGAAATAGATATATTATTCAACCTGAAAATGTTTCCAATACAAAAATAAAATTTGAAATTTAACCCGAGCTTAATTTGATCAAATAAATTTTAATCGAGCCGAGCAAGAACAAATTACTCATGAGCTATTTTGAACATGAATTGAATATCAACAACAATTTTTTTAACGAAACATTTGAGCACGGCCTCGTTCAAGCTCGACAAAGAAGGTTTATAAAAAAGAGTTGGTTCAGCGCATAACAACCAAAGTCTGACAATAATTTATGTAACTTATAACCTCTTGATCCACCTTAATTTTTCAAATAGATAATCTTGGAGTGTTATGTTTGTAATCTCTCGGATTATAATTTAGATTACACTTACTTAAGAAAAATAAATCTTGTAATTTATTAATCTTATCTAATTAGGGCTATCAAAACGGCTCGTTGTTCGCGAATAAAAAGAGATGGTTGAGCGCATAACAACCAAAGTCTGACAATTTATGTAACTAATAACCACTTGCTCCACCTTAATTTTATAGATAATCTTGAAGTGTTATGTTTGTAATCTCTTGGATTATAATTTAGATTACACTTAAAAAAATAAATCTTGAAATTTATTAATCATATCTAATTAGGGCTGTCAAAATGGCTCGTTGTTCGAATACGAACAAATATTTGTTCGCTCGTGTTCGGCTCATTGGCTTCAAAGAAATAAATAAATTAATAAATAAATAGTTCGGCTCGTTAGAACACGAACAACACGAACAAACATTTGTTCGTTCGTGTTCGGCTCATTTTGGCTCGAATCTACTACGATTTATAATTAATTAAAAGTTCTAATTAAGAAAATATAATAAAAATTTTAAATTAGATTCAAATGATGCTTTAAATCTTGCCCCAATTAATTGGGTACAAGGCTACTAAGATTTATAATTAATTAAACTATTAATTAGGAAAATATAATAAAAATTTTTGAATTAGATTCAAATGACGTTTTAAATCTTGTCACAATCATTAACATCTTATTAACTCGTGTTCGGCTAGCTAAGCAAACGAGCCAAACACAAACACAATTTTTGAGCTCGAAATGTAAACGAGCCGAACATGAGTAGAGTCTCGGCTCACTGGTGTTCGGCTCGTTCACACCCCTATATCTAATCATTTAATTTTGAATTTTCAAATTAATTTTCCCTTTTTCTCGGACATTTGACTAAAAACCCTAATAGGCTCAAACGGCCTTTTCTTTTAATAAACACGAGCGAGCCTATCTAATCATTTAATTTTGAATTTTCAAATTAATTTTCCCTTTTCTCGGACATTTGACTAAAAACCCTAATAGGCTCAAACGGCCTTTTCTTTTAATAGATACATTTACATACATACCCCCAATTCTTTTTTATATATGTAAAATCTAAACTTTAATTTTTACAGTTTTACCACTTAAATCTTTCAGATCACATAATTAACATCACCATTGCTCCTTTTTAAGAGCTCAAATGCATCTTTTAGTAAAAAAAATTAAATTAATGAACTGGCTCATTGGTATGACCTCTGGTGTAAGTCCCTCGGGTGGGGAGTTCGAATCTCGTGGCGCGGGTTATTCGAATTAGGAACAAGCACACAAGCGTTTTCAACCCTTTGATGGAATCGATATTTGCTGCTCGCTGGATCAAATATGGATTTCAACTTTTAATATATATATATATATATATATATTATTTTATTACCTTCCAAATGATTGATAAAACGGATAAAGAGGAGCTATTTGAGGCAGATAGAATTGATCGTAAGGTGAAAATTTATTTCATTCCATAATTTTAAGCCTCAAAATCACTTCAAAATATTGGACCGCATCAACGGCCGTAAGCCACGCGATCCACCGCCAGAGCATCCCAACCAACGGTCCAGATTGTTCTCCGAGTTTTTCCGAAACGCTTTCCTTTCTTTCCTCTCTCCCAACGGACGGCAAAATAGTCGACGTTTCTCTGTGCCCTAACCAAACTTCCACAGCGCTCTCATGGTGATAGGCGAGATAACTTCAGCAGTATTTTAGATTCCTTTCTCTCTCGTCTCGTTTTCTAATGGCGGATGCTATGGAGAAGAAGGGAGGCGGTTTATTAAGCGAAGGCGGCCTCGCTGTTATTTCAACGTGGTCCGTCATTCGTTCCCCTAATTTGTATGCTTGCCACCGATGTGGACTCGGTTTCCCGGTCAATTGTAGCGTCGAGCGGCTCAAAATCTTGGATAGCTTGTGGCGCGTCGTTCTCCTCTGCCATGAATGCTTTGCTCTTGTTGGATCAGGTCAGATTTGTTCCTACTGCTTCTCGTGGTTTCCAGAGTTGGAAAAGGGTCTTATTGATTGCAATACGTGCTTCCGACGCGTGCACCGGGGCTGCGTCTACCTGCACCACCGCAACTTCTCGGATTCGCTGCTCGATGCGCGCAGTTTTGTGTGCGTCGACTGTCGTCCCATCCCCCAATTGCCGCGAGAAGATCTTAAGAAGGATGGAGGTTCTTCATCTCGAAGAGCTTTTAGGGTTTCATTTCAAGATGCGGCTAAAGGCTCAGCACCGATTTTAGGGAAGAAGGCGATTGGTAAAGGTAAGGCTGGGGAGAATGTGGGAAAAAAGGTAATTGTGGGAAGGGGTTCTTCTGGTCTTAAGAGGAAGGCATTTGATGCTGTTGATATGGTCAAGAAGCCTTCTTGCGTCAATTTAACAGTCCCGGATGAGAAGATGGCTCTTCAATTGCATCAAACGATAAATGGATCAAAGAGGATTTTCAGGAGTTCTTGCCCTAAGGATTTAAGTAAGTTTACTGTTACAAGGAAAGAGCAATTGAGTCATAACTCTGTTGCTAGTATTATCGACTCAAATTCTGCTGCCCGTCCTTGCAAGATTGAAGCCAGTACTGAGAATGAATCTATTCTAGAGGGTAGAGGTGATTCTAAATCAATTTCAACTAATATTACATTATATAAGCAGGAGAATGGGGATCTGATGAAGCAAGTTAGGGCATGCAATGAAGGCTTCCCTGAGAATTTTTCATTGGATGAGATGGAGGGCTCTCTGAAGTTTCCAGATTGTGCTAATGATGGAATTAATGCTTGCCTTGCGTTGTTACGATGCCATACTTTTAATACTTGGTTGACCAATACACGGCCACTTAAAAAGCATAGATTCAACGATTATGATGGCGAAGAATCCTCTAAACTGCAGCAAAAAAGCATTGATTCTATAGGTCCAAATGGACTTTCGAAGAAATATGTCGGGAAAAGTTGGGATTCTGGAAGAATTATGCAAGAGAATTCTCATTCCACTTTGAATGATTCCCTATTATCTAAGCAGGAGAAAGGAGATCTAATGAAGCTAAATATAATTTGCAACGCACCTTGCTCAAGGGATTTCTCCTTGCAAGAGAGGTATTCTATAAAGTTTCCATATTCTACTGACGATGAAAGTAATGCTAACTCTACATTATTATCATGTCATAGGCTGAATAGTTGGTTGAAGAGTACAACACCAGTAGATAAGTATAGATTTGGTGATTTTGCAGAAGTGGAATCCTCTAAACTGCAGCAGAAGAGCATTGATGTGATTGTTCCAGGCATGCTTATGAAGAAATATTTCAGAAAACATCGAGATAATGGAAGGATTACACAAGGGAATTCTCATTCAATTTTAATTAATCGTCCATTTTTCAAGCCAAGGAATAGGGTTCTTATGAAGCAAACTAGGGAATGCAATGCAGGTTGTGTAAGAGATTTCTTCTTGAAGGAGGACTCTCTAAAGCATGTAGATTCTGCTGATGATGTTGGTAATGCTGGCCCTGCTTTGTTAACATGTTATAGTTTGAGTGCTTGTTCGAATAGTTCAATGGCATTGACTAAATACGGATTTGGTGATTGTAACGGAGAGGGATCCTCTACACTACAGAGAAAGAGCATTGATGCAATAACTTGTAGGTCTATGAAGAAATATTTTAGGAAACGTTGGAGCTCTAAAAGAATTATGAAGGGTAATTCTGAATCAGTTTTGGTTAATAGTCTATTACGTAAGGAGGAGAAGGAGGATCTTAGTACAGGCTGCTCAGGGGGCTTTTCCTTGAAGGACAAGGCGAGCTCTTTACAGTTTCCAGATTTCACTAATGATGGTAGTAATGCTGGATTTGCAACGTTACCTTGTAATAGTTTGAATGCTTTGCTGGATAGTACAATTCCTACAACGAATTATAGCTTTTGTAATGGCGATGGGGAGAGCTTGAAAGAAATGTCACGAAAGCCTATTGATACAATAGTTTCAGCTAATATGAAGAAATATTATAGGAAACGTCAGGGTTCTAAAAGAGTTATGCAAGTGAATCCACAATCAATTTCAGTTAATAGTCCGTTAGTTAAGCGGGAGAATGGGGATTTGATGAGAGGGTGCGAGACGAGCTGCCCGGGGGATGTCTCCTTGAAGGAGGAGATTTCTGTCAACTTTGCAGATTCTATTGATGATAGCAGTAATATTGATTCTGGATTGTTACAATTTCATGGTTTGAATAATTGTTTGAACGGTTCAATGCCACTAATAAAGCATACATTTGGTGATGGGGATGGAGAGAGATGCTCTAAATTGCAGCGTAGGAGCATTGATGCTATAGGTTCAGATGGGTCTTTGAAGAAATATTTCAGAAGAAAATTGGGTTCTTGAAGAAATATGCAGGGGAGTAACATGCAAATGCCACTTTGACAGCCAGGTTGCTTTGGAATGTCCTATGTATTCTCTGCTGCTACGTTCTTCTGGAAGCAATTTGTGAAGATCCCACTCTCAGAGGAGATAGGTTGTATGACACTCAAAACTTGACCACCTGGTTGATATAGTTATTCTTGGTGCAAACTTCTACTAGAATGAATTTGTAGATATTTTGCGCTGACTGTACCCCTGTTACCTCAAGATGATTTTATTTTTTTATTTTTTTTTATTTTTGTCACTCTTATATTTGGCCAGTTTGCCGTTTTTTTAGATATCAATTTGCAGTGCTAAACATAGCAAGTAACCGTTCACATGTATTTATGCCTCCTTGGCTTAAATTTGCAGTGCTAATTTCTGACCTTTTTTTTCTGACTGTATCTGTTACAATGTGAAAAGATGTTATAAAAGTGTTTTGAATCCAAGTAATAATAAAAGAAACCAATCACGTTTACTGGTGAAGCAAAGAGAAAGTGATTATTAGAATGACTAGATTTGAAGTGCTCTAGCAATTTACTGCTCTTAATTATGATCAGTGTCAGATATGCCCAGGCCTTTCACTGCAATTACTTCTAATTTGTAAATATTATTATAGAAGTAAATCTTTCACTTCTTGGGCTGCTGGTAAAGGCTGTGCAAGGGCGGCACAGGGTGTCTTGGATGAATGCTAATTTGTAAATTAATCTTATTGGTTTTGCACAAATGCATCAAACATTTTGCTCCTCAATCATTATGACAGTGCTTTATTTTTTAGTGTTAGTTTAATGGCTTTTGATGTGGTATAGCTGGTCCATGAAACCTACTGAATTGCTTGATCAAAATAGTAGGCAAGTTGGAATTTATGAATGTTTTCTTTCTCCATTGCTCAGTAATTTTTTGCCCACAAAATGTTTTTCTTTTTCACCTTTTTAATCATGCTACCATCTTTCATTATCAGATCTTTGTCATCATGCATCTTTTATAAGGTTTGTGAGAACATTCTTAAGCTTCATTTAGTCGTTCTCTGTTATTTATTTGCTTTATAAAAAACATTCTTAATCTTCATGGTCTTATATTTTGATGATTACAAGATTAATGGATCAAATGTCATGTTTCAACTAAGGTGATATCATCAGATCTCAACTAGAACATGTTATTTGTAGATGACATCAATTTAGATCTACTACAATTTGAAATAGTACTAAAACTCAGGAAGAGTGCCTTAAAATTTGTTAAATTTTCAACTATTTAAACTATCATAAAATTTAACTTTAATAAATATATATTGAATTTTAACTTACTTGAAGGGTGTATATTATTGTGAAGGCTTAATATATCAGTGGTTGATTGGTTCAGATTTGCTTCATGTCTTTGACACGCCCAAATGTTTGTTTTTGTACTTCATTTGATAATTTATTGTACCGTAAAGGATGATTGATACTCCTAAACACCATCTTCTAAAGCATTGCTTCCGATACTAGAACTAACCATGGATAGTGAGACATCATTGAGTTTAGTTAGCGCATCTTGTTGCCATACTTTTGGCACACTGTTCATAAATCGTTGGACATCAGCTGATGATGCTAAATGCACTAACTAAATGTTTTCATGTTATTTAGCTTTTAGCGGTTTTCATCCATTTGTGTTCATAAGTCTTATAAAGTATGTTAATTCTTGTATTGATTAGTATTTTCATTGTCATTGGAAACACGCACCATGGCTATTTCTTTTACAGATTTAATATGCTTTTCATTTTGTGTAATTTTTTCGTCTTCAAGCTTTGCATTTTAGCCTCTCTTATTTTGGTTTTCTTTGGTTTTTGTGGTAGTTGGAAGTATAGAGTTGTCAAAATGACATGAGAACCTTGTTGGACGATTAAGTCCAAATTTTTCCATCAATTTGACATGAAATAGTTGCATAAGAGAGAGTTTTCTACATCAATGTTATCATATATTATTGTTTCTGGAATAAGATGTATTTGACCATTTGAAAAGTATTGGATGTGAATTTATGAGGAGCTGGAAAGAGAAGAGTCCAAGGAATTAATAAGTATGCAAAATATGGCCAATTTAAATACATTGATAACTAAAGTACTGCAAAAAAAAAATGAACTTTTCAAATTTATAAGCATTTTTTCTAATGCATTGTATGGTCATGTAAGAAGTCTTTTAGGATTTAGATGTATCGTTACTTTATCATTTAAATTTCATATACATGTTCTTTACATTAGGATTAAATTTACAATTATAATAATTAATAGTAGTTTTTTTTTTTTTTTGGTGTATTCTATATGTAATTTATGCATTGGACTAACATAATATGATGTAAGTAATAAAAAAATAAGTTAAAAAAACTACCATGAGAGATAATGATTATGGATGAATACATGCAATAATTAACTCCTAGAAGAAGATATGATAAAAATTTCACTCATTAATTACGAGTTTAAACATCAAATGTGGACACAATCTTATCTTCTAATATTGTCTTAACTTTGTGATAAAGTATTGGGTGTGAATTGGTTTGGAGCTGCAAAGAGAAGAACCTAAGGCATTAATAAATAGTTCATGAAATAAATAAATTAAATGTATTGATTGATTACTCAACTAATGCCAAAAATTTTAATATTTTCTAATTTATAGGCATTTGTTCCGATGCATTGTATGATTTTAAATGATCCACTTTTCTAGCAGTTAATTTATTCATGGCTCCTATAAGAATTCTTTTAGGTTTTACATCTATGTGATACGATCCAGAATCAAAAACAATGAATAAACAGTGAATAATTGGACTTAGAGAGGTGTGAAAACTTAAATGATGGCTGATTTAAAATTCTTTTAGGTTTTACATCTATGTGATACGATCCCGAATCAAAAACAATGAATAAACAGTGAATAATTTGACTCAGAGAGGTGTGAAAACTTAAATGATGGCTGATTTAACTAATACCAACAAAAATTAATAAGATACAATATTGATCTACTGTTTGAGAGGTAGTTCAACTCTCTACTAATCCTAGAAGACTCTAGGAACACCAAGATAAAGGAAATATTGCAGCCAAACAAAACATAAAAACAAATCTACACAATTCACCCTCATAAATACTCTCTAAGATCTCTTTTAAACTTTCTCCCCAAAGCCCCTTGATTCCTCTCCTTTTGTATGTGATTAGTGTCTGTGTGGACACCATTCAGGTGTTGAAATCGTGCTCAACCTCTCCTAAGTATCTCACCCCTCTGTTTTTGCTCGGCTGGCCCGGGCTCGCCGGCGGCCGGGGTGGGAGGGGCTAGGTCCCGTCGGCTCCCTTGTCCATTTGTGTAGGCATTGGCGTATCAACACTCCCCTCCTAAAGAAGCACCTTGTCCTCGAGGTGGAAGGATGAAATTGGTTTTTGATACTCTCGTAAGGCTACAATATTGCTTCATAATATGAAAAATCTTTCCACTTAATCAATACCGCCTTTTCTCCCCTACTCCTTGGTGCACTCCTTCGACCGATAAAGGTTCCATAGTTATGTTCATGTCATCTGATAGTGTCGAAGGTAGGGAAGACAATGGTGTATGATCTTCGATAGCCCGCCTCAGCTGTGAAACCTGAAACACTGGATGTAGTACTGGTGATGGAGGTAACTTCAAATGGTAGGTCACTGTCCCAACATGTGTCGTAATCTCATAGGGTCCAAAATATCGTGGAGAAAATTATTTACTCTTCTGCCCGACCAATGTCTTCTGTTGTTAAGGCCTTAGCTTTAAGTAAACCATGTCCCTGGGTTCGAATTGTATCTCTCTCCTATGTTCGTCCTCCTTCTTCATAATCAGTTGAACTCTTAGTATGAGCTCAAATAATATTTTGTCCCTCTTCTCCATGTATTGGTCGATATTGGATACCAGTATAGGCTATGCTCAAGTGAGATGGATCCCACTCATACAAAATCATGAAAGTGGTGGGATGTGTCGTCGTATAGTATGAAGTATTATACTAATATTCAACCCACACAATCCACTCGGTCCAAAGCTTTGACGTATCTGATACAAAACAACGCAGGTTTGTCTACACACTCCTGTTGACCTTCTTCGTCTAGCCATCGGTCTGGAGATGATATGTTGTGCTTCTCTTAAGGATTATTCCTTGCAACTTGAACAACTCCTTCCAGAATTGGATGAGGAACACCTTGTCCATATCTGATACAATGCAATTTGACACTCCGTGCAATTAGACCACTTTCTACATGAATGTAGTAGCAAATGAGACCGCAATGTGGGAGTGTCATAATAGAATGAAATTAGCATACTTGTTATGGTGATCCACTACCACCAAGATCACCATAAACCCTTCTGATCGTCGCATCATCACTTCTTCTCAAGCTTTCTACAATAAATATAAGGATCATAGTAACCCTCTTGACGTCATGATCAAGTATTTATGTTGTTGGCACACACCGCACTCCACCATGTCCTCTACGTCTCTGCGCTTTTCCAGCCATTAAAACTCTGTCAACAGACGATTGTATATCTTTTGTACTCAGAAGTGTCCCCCAATTGCAATGTCGTGAAACTCCTATAATAGTTTGAGGATATACTCCATTGCCTTTGGCAATACGAAACATCCATGGTAGAGTAGTTGTTGCCCCCTCAATGCATATCCTAGATGACTGTTCAAAACCCATAGCAATTCTTCTTGTATTTCCTCAACACTTCATCTTGCTTGCTTTCCCTTCTCAGGGCTTCCTAATTTAGAACCAAGAGTTTCGATAAGGCTGTCAATTGGGGCTCCTCCACCTTTCAATCGGGCATCTGCAACTTTATTCTCCAATCATGGTTGGTACTGAATCTCAAAATCATATTTCAGTAACTTGGATGGCCACCTCTGAAGTTCGTCAGTCCTCATCCTTTGCTCTAAAAGATATTTCTAGTTCCTCTGATTTGTCTTGATAAGAAAGTGTCATCCCAACAAGCAGGGCCGACACTTTTGGATGTTAAAGACAATAGCCATCAACTCTTGTATACTAACTTGAGCCTTACCGTAGCTATGAACACTTAGCTGAAGTAGGAAACATACCACTGGTCCTTCATAAGTTCTACTCTCAATCTGTACCATAACACATCCATTTCTACCACATATAGTTCACTGAAATCTGGAATTGCTAATACTGGTACACTGATCATGACTCTCTTCAGAGTTTTGAAGGCTTGTGTTGTTGCTTCCCCCCACTTGAAATTTTCTTTCTTCAGTTGCTCTATCAACTACCATATTATTGTGTCGT